ATGTAATTACAATAGTAGTTTCAAAAATCTTAATAAAGCACTAGCGTAACTGCTTATAATAAAAAAAAAAAAAAAAAAAAAAATTTAAACCTTTTGATCATCTGTCCTGTCATATTAGAATCCTCAACTAATTTCCTATATATACCTAACCAGTATATCATCTGAGCAGTATGATACCTACCCTTTTTATACTGGTTCTCAGGCTGTTACACATTTCAGAGTACATCATCTGTCAGTAAGACACAGAGGCCTCCCATTATTAACTAACTATCTATTTTTAGAACACTAATACAGGCTATCTTTACAAAGTTCATTCAGACCCTAGTACTAACTTCATAGCATATCTCTAGTACTTTTAGTATACCTTTGCTTTGAACCCAGACTTCCAATTTAGATAGCTTAGAAAGACTATAACCTGTCCTTAGTATATTAAGGCTGGCCTAATATTCTTTTTCTCCAGTCTGAAATCTAGCAATCTGGTTGGTAGTATTCCTTAACTGAGATTCTTGTCTGCCTAAATCCTTCACATTAGTATCCATTTCCTAGATCTAACCTTTATAGTAGTATTATTAAAGATCTGTGTTATCTTTCTGCTCAGAATTTCTAAGTAGGCTCTGGCTTCCTAGTTCTATAGATTTATATGACCTGAAGACTTATTTTAGGTTTGTACTGCCCAATACCAGTTTGCATTCCTCTGTATAACAAGTTACACAAATGTCCCAGACTTGCTAGTCATGCTGATGGGACTATAGTTACAGATATCCTATCCCAACTGATCGACAGAATGCCATCACCATAATATTGTCTATATATTATATAGGTGATTATCCAAATTTTACTATTAGTGGGTTTTGAACTTACAATCTACTACTTGGAAGTATGACAACTTATTCACTTCACTAAGTCACCACACTCTCTTATAATTTTTATTTTAATATTTTCTTTATTAACTTGTTATAATATTTAAAAAATGTCTATAATAATATAATACTTTTTTATACTTTATAAAATTAATTTATAATTTTTATATTAAATTTTATAATTATTTATTAAATAAAAATAAATTTTATTTACTCTTTTTTTTTAATTAAAATAAGACCTGGCTTGTATCTTTTATTAGTACAGTACAGAATGTCTTAAATCAATAAGTAAAAACCAATAATTTTTTAAAATTTTATAAAAAAATAAAAAATATAGTAACAAAAAAAATTTTTTTATAAAAATATATAAAAAGGCAAGCAGAACAAAGTTATAAAATGTTTTTAATTTAATAAATTTTAATGTTATTACTTGTTGAAATTATTAATAAAATAAAAATTTAATCACATATATATAAAAACCATAATAGAATTTTAAAAATTTAATAAAATTTTTAAAAACATAATAAAATTTCATTATATTAGCCAATCAAAATTTAGCATTTAGTCTTGAATTTGGCCACTTTTAAAAAAAATAGTTGGTTTAAGAGTTCCTGCACTATAGTTTTAAAATTGATAATTATATAATATTACTAAATACAAATAATAATTTTATATTAAACTGCTAATTATATATAACTAATTCTAAGTATAAAAATAGAAAAACTACATTTAAAAATAAAAGTTCTAACATATTTATCTGCAATCTAAACTTACTAGAATGATCAAAACTCACCTAATAAATTTTACCTACTTTAATAAGTTTAAGTTGCAAATAAATTAGATAAATATAATTCTTTCTATAGTTTAAGCATTATTTTTATAATAAATTTATAATTAAAATAATTTATACCTAGAGAAACTTTAACAAATAAAAAAATAAAATTAAGTATTAGATTTTAAAAATAGTTAGCAAACTTATTGAAAATCAAAAAACAATATTTTAAAATAAACTATCTACTTGAAATAATTAAAAAATCAAAGAACTGTTTTTAAATAAATTAAAGATGTAGTAAAGTCGTTTAATATTGAGTGCAGATCCAAAAATTTTACTATAAAAAATCTTACGTAGTGATTTTCACTATATGACCTGTACTGTTTGTCTGTTTGTAAATTAACACCCCAATCACTCATATATAGTTGATTATGAGAATGTACCCTAAACTTTGGGGATATATGAAAAATATGCACCGAAATCAATTAGAAAGTAGTTAAAAAATATTTTCTCCAATTTCGCCATACAAAAATATTTTCGCCATCCAAAAATATATTTGTCATTCGAAAATAAATTTCGTACTAAATATTTTCGACAGACTAGAATAATTTCGACAGACTAGAATAATTTCGACAGACTAGAATAATTTCGACAGACTAGAATAATTTCGACAGACTAAAATAATTTCGACAGACTGAATTATTTACGTTTTAGACAGTCAAAACTAAATTTACGTCAAGAGACACCCATGTATAATTGCCCTGAAAAGAACAGTACCGTAATAGGTACAAAAGTTAAAGCTGAAAAATCAAAAAAGGATCAAAAGTCCAATAGTGATTTGGATGAAGTTGTTACTCATATTTTGAGGTATATTTTAAGAATTTATTTAATTTATAATTTTATCTAAAGCATTTTTTTTTTTGTATTATTCAAATAGCGACGAAAAACCAGTTTTGAACGCATGTTCTGTTCCAAAATGTAAACAAAATTTGTCGATAATGAGTTACACTTGTCAATATTGTAATATGAAATATTGTATAACGCATAGGTGAATTTCATTAAATGATTATGCTATCTATTATGTTATTACTTTGAGATTAACTCTTAATATGAATAAATTTTATAAGGCATCCCGAATCACATTCTCCAAAATGTGCTGAAAAAATTAAAAATAGTTCAAAATCCGAATTTAAACAAGAATCAATGCGGTTTATAACTCAGGAGAGAAGAGATCCTGGATCAACAAACGCAAAAAAGTTTAATGCTGAGAAAAGTAAAGAAGAATTGAAAAAAAAATACAAGGAGAAATTAGAACATATCAAACGTAAGGAAAGGGGCAGGAAATAACTTTTTCAGGTGTTCTAAAGTACAAAATATGATAATTGTATCGAAGATCGGATGCGAATTTCACAAAACAGAAATTTTTAATGGATTTTAAAATACGTACAAAAATATATGTATGATTTAGTAGTTTTTGGTAAAAAACTATCAAGCTATATATATTTTTTATTCTATTTTTAGTTAAAAAAATCTCATCTCTAGATATAAAATTTCACCAATTATGTTCACCAATTTGCGAATGTCACGTGGTATGATTATTTAAAAGTAGATGTACTTGCAATTCATTGATAATATTGTAACGGTAATAATTGATAATAACGATAACGATAATAATAAAGTTTCAAAGCCACATATATGTACAAGTATAAAGCCATTCTTAAAAAATTTGGAGACTATGAGCATTTTTTTACAAACTCACAATATGACTATTTCTGAGTCCGACAAAGACGAAATGGAAATTGGTCTGATAGGGCTGGGAGAGATGGGTTTAATGTATGCTAAGAGAATAGTAAAGGCCGGGTGGAAAAGGTACACATATTTTATAACCTGTGTCGACAGGTTTATTACGTGAAATAGCATCATTTAATACTTTTTCTATCGATTTTATCTTTTGAAGAGTGAATGTATGCGACCTGCCCTCACGCTATGAAGAACTAAAAGAAAAATTGAAAGGTTAATATTCAATGAATCATACATTTGATGATCTTTGATTGTTAATGACATTTGATAAAATTTTAGATAGTGGTATGAAAGTTCTTCGTGATGGACATGCTGTATCAAGAAGGTGTGATTTTATCATTTATTCTATCGAAGCCGAGAATATTGATAGGGTAGTGGCTGAATATGGTCCTTGTAGGTTAATTAATAGAATTTGTATTTTATATCATGTAATTTTTCATGCTTATTTTTATTTCAAATATAATTAGCCTCCAAAATTGGTGCTATAGTAGCTGGTCAGGTGCGATATTTACAAATTTACTTGCGTTTATTATTATTTTATTTCTTTCTAACTTTATGTGAACAGACATCAGTTAAAGAACCTGAAATTCGCGCTTTCGAAAATCATCTTCCCGAAGATGTTCATATTGTTTCGTGTCATTCACTTCATGGACCTTCTGTAGATCCTGAAGGGCAGCCATTGGTAATTTCTGATTGTCGCCAGTCAAATCACGTGAAAGAATTCTAGTTCAAATCTTTTATGTTAAAATATCTTAGGTTATGATTCAACATCGCGCCACAAAAGAGAAATTTGAGTTTGTACTTCGTGTATTATCATGTTTGAAATCTCGATTTGTGGTATTATCTTATAAAGAACATGATCGTATTATGGCTGATACTCAAGCTGTGACTCACGTTGCCTTTTTAAGGTAAGCGAATTAAATATCTACATATGTTAAAGGTATGCGTGTTATTCATTTACAAATTCTTTAAAGTATGGGAACTGCCTGGAAAACTCAACAGCAATTTCCGGTACGATGTTATCTAAGGTCTAATTAATATATATAGCTTTCTTGTAAAAAAAATCGAATCTCATTTTTCTTTTACTATTATAGTGGGCAACTCCGCAATACGTTGGCGGAATAGAAAATGTCAAAGTTCATATGGCATTACGTATATACTCAAACAAATGGCACGTCTACGCCGGTAAAGTATCAAAATATAATATAATGATAGTAAATATTACGTTATTAATGCTCATCTTTATGACACTAATAGGAATTGCTCTTATGAATCCAAGCGCAAAAACACAAATTCAACAATATTCACAATCAGTATCCGATCTGTTTAAGTTGATGATTCAGGAAAAAGAAGAGGAATTCACTACTCGCGTGAAGACTGTAAATATATTTATAGCTGTTACTTGCTTTTATTCATGTAATGTCGGTTTTATAATGATTTGGTTACAATTAGGCGGGAGAATTCGTCTTTGGTAAAACTAGGATTTCTTCTCGTGAACAAATACTATTATCGGATTCTATCTTGGATCAATTCTCTTTATCAAGTGTACCTAAAGATAAAAGAAAACCGAATTCTCACTTATCATTGTTAGCAATGGTTAGTGTGATATACTTCGTTTTTTTACTGATATTTTTAATACCTAACATTTACTATTTCAAAGGTTGATTGCTGGCATTCGCTTAAAATTAATCCATATGAACATATGGTGTGTCAAACACCACTTTTTAGACTTTGGACGTATGTATATTTTATTTTATTTATCCTTTTTTTATATATTATTAGTAATTAAAGTTAACCTTTTTAGAGGAATTACAGAATATTTATTCTGCAATTCGGAGATGTTAGATGAAGCAATTCATTCAGCATTATATAGTAAAGATATTCGAGCAGATGACATGGAGTTTTATAGTGCGACCAAAGGTTGGGCAGAATGTGTTGAAATTGGCAATATGATGACATATCAAAAAAGGTTCGAGGATACCGCAAAATTCTTTGAGTCTAGGTATAATAATTATCTCTCATATATTTTATATATGCACCTAATAGTTTACTGATTTGAATATAACGCTCATTACCAGATTTGAAGAAAGTAATAGGATGGGAAGGGAAATGATAAAACTCATTGTAAATAAGACGCATCGATAGAATTTTAATTGGATAGGCTATGTAAATAATTTATTCAAACGGATTTTGGTATCAATGACATGTTATAAAATCGAACTTCTTTATTAGACCTTCATTATATAGAATCTACCATATCGGAATTTCCTTAACCTGTAATTTTTTATAAATTTGCAATAAATTTCATTTGCTAATATAATTTTTGAGGTGATAATAAAAAAAATGAAATGAGCGCGCTTTTTCAATCTAATTGAAACATGTTTTAAATTAGAACTATAATAGTATTACCTATTATCTTTTTAACGTTTTACCCTGAAATCATTGGAAATTTTAATTTAGCGAAAAAAAAACGATATAAAGTATGCAAGTTAAAATTCACGAGAATATTCATGTACCATGTATATCTCTTTCTTGACTTCGCAAGGCCAGGTTTCTTACGTTCAACCCTACGAATATCTCGTGTGACAAGTTTGGCTAAAGAGTAATTTATAAAATATACTGAATGTAAATTAAATTATTCATAATATAAAGAATGTCATATTGAGATTGCACCTTTTCGTAAATCCGGCTTCAGGGATGGATCGTGTATTATCAAATTTCTGGTGATCCCATGAGCAATAGCTCCGGCTTGACCTTCATAATATTTAAAATATAATCCTTTCAATTTGGCTTATCACAGTAATCAATCAATATATGCATTTGCGCATTATTGTATACATTAATATTACCAGATGTACCACCACCTTTGACTTTTACCCATACATTATATTTATTAAGCGAATCAGTCAAATACAATGGATATAAGACTGTTTCACGATCTTTTAATAAAGAGAAATAATCCGCTACTGGAACACTATTAACAAACACTTTGCCATCGCCTTCGACTAACCATACTTGTGCAGCAGCCTCTTTCCTTCTACCAACAGCATATGTAACTCCATATCGATTAGGTGTTTTATTTGCTTCTAACTCTTTCTTTTTTTTTTCCAGATCAATCCGTCTAAATAATTCTAAAAAACTATGCAATTTTGGCGCACTTTCAGGTACAACAAGGTCTAACCGATTTAATTTTCGCGTTATGTTACGATAGTGGTTAGACTTTAATTTTAAGCCTAGTTCTGAACCGAGGTGATCCTTAAGCATCCATAGGGTCGGTGAATTTTTATCTCGTTCTAATTTTGGAGAATTGCGATATTTTTCAAAAAGTTCGTCAAGATGTATAAGAAGATCGTTGTAGTGAGGCTTCGCAGTAAAATACGAAAGTGAAGCGGGTTGTTCGGACGGCTTAAAGACTTCTATGGCGTCTTCAATTTGTGAAAACTCTGGCGGAAGAGGAAGTTTAAAACCTGTAGTAGAGCCAGTAAAAATACCTCGTAAGAATGATGTGGTTAAAAATTTTATTCGTATATTACATGTATTTCCTTTGAGAAGAGACTTTATATAAAACATTTTGAGGATGTGATAAAATGTTTGATCGGATTTTTTTTTAATATCCTAAAATCAGATAGTTTGATTGGTTGGATCAAAAAAGTTTAAATCATTAGTTTCATCACGTAGTATAAGGGAACATAATTTTCCTCGTACAAGATTCTTCATAATTATGGGTAGCAAACAATCAACACCAGCAGAAATGGTAATATATAATGAACCTCCAATCCGAGTGAGTATCTTGTCCATAGTCGGTTTTTCTTTCTTTTTTTTACAAAAAAAGTGATTAATACTGCATTAGGTCAGTAAACCATTTATCTAATATAAATAGTTTTCTCATGGTTTGGTTAATAAACTGCAACAAGAACTGCAAAAAGAGCGATTGGTCAGTTTTTGCTATCATTATTTTTAAAAGATTATTCTAAATTTTAAATAATTAAACTGGAAAAATCTATAAATGTACAGAGAAAAACACAACCAACAGTGGATAATGCCACTGAGCCTATATTACCTGAAGATATAGAGAATATCGTTCAAACTCGCGTTGAAAGGGAATTGAATCGTATTAGGGAGCGTGATGAAGAAATACAGAGACGTATTGAAGTCGAGTTAGTTAAACGTAGAGCCTTCATTGATGATCATGGTCTTAATGCCGTAGTTACTGAACAAGATATAGAGGAATTGATTTTGCGGGTCGAAAGGTTTGTTTTAATTGATTTGGTCATTGGAAATATATGATCTAATCCACTAATTTTACTTTAATCTTAATAGAAAATATGAAAATAAAATTCCAACGGAATTGATTGAACAACAAAGAGCAATTATTTCTTGTTACAAGTATTATTACTAATTTTTGCTACTAATTTAGTTGTTTTTTTTTTTAGTTTAAATACTTTTTAATAATGTGGAATTTCATTAAATATCTGATAGAAATAATAGTACACATACTCTTGATTGCTGGGAAGAAGTGCAGCAATTTAAACGGAAAGTCCAAGATGCTATTCAGGTACACAATTTTTGGAATTGTATGCGGTTTCTTGAAGTTAATTTAGACATTAATATTTTTTGTTTTGCTTTTGTAGGAATACGTTATTTCTAATTAATATATTCAATAGTTGGTTTTTTTTTTATTATAGCTGTTATATAGATGGGATGATTCCATGATAAATAATGGTGTATATTGAACAAAATTAGTACACAAATTTTATTGTTTCACGCAAAGATTTATCTTCAGACGAGGAAATTATAATCTAAATTATATAATGAATGCTAAACAATGTCAAATAATTCTAAAGTAAAACCCATGGTCTTTTCTCTATACATATAATAATAATATGAGGTTACAGGAGATCAAATTATTGCTCGTTGGAGAAATGGCTAAATGAAATATTGTAAACACCAAGAAAACGCAGAAACAATATTTAGAGATTGAATTAAGGAAAAAAACGAAGACGATCGATAGAAAAATTACCACTGGGAAGAAGGTTCTTCTTGCATGCAAACATTCTTGCAGCATCATATGAGCGCACCATATCTACGAACGTGATGAAAACGCAAACCCCAAAACAATAGCAGTCAGTACAATAGCCACCACAATAACATAATTAGAACCACCACCCTCGTTACTAATATTCCTACGCTTGTTACTATTTTTAGTTTTACGAGGTATTTTAATTGGTTTTGAGATTGATCCGTACCCGAAAACGCTTTTAATGGGATTCCAGTAATAATTTTGCCAGTTTTGTTTGACAACTTCTTCTTCACCAACTGGAACACCTTTTTGAGTGACATTGACACGGGTATAATCGCTTGTTTGTTCGAATTCTAGAGTGACCGTTGAAAAGTGGCCTTAAATTGTTTAACGATTATAAGTTAACATAAAGTTATAAATAAAAGATGTATTATAATGTTCCTTAAAGAATTGTTAAATACCTTCTGGCCAAGTTTTTAGCCTCCAAGATTGTACGATTTTTTTGTTTGAATCCTTAAAAAAAAAAAGTGACATTTCATGAAATATAATGCTCCTAATTTTTTACATTTGGGACGCCCACAACAAAAGCAGGAAATGTGACTATATAATATATAGTCCCATTCCCCGCTTTTGCTATGGGCGTCCCCATTTATAAAATTGATCAAACGCTATAACTCACTAGTTCGAGAATTGTTCCAGTAATGTTTCCTTCAAATAAACTAAAGGTGCTCCCAATATGTCGAAAGATATCAGGCCTCGACCTCGTCCAAGCAGCAACGCGACCTGCATCGAGCAAAGTTTCGTAGACTTGGTCTGCCGAAGTTTGCAATTCGACTATTTCTTTAATTGTAGTGGTGTTCACGAATTTGGGTTTGGTAGTGCTCGCCGTAGCGGTGGATCCGATCGAAGTGGTAATAGGAGCCGGAGATTGAGAAGTCCCTGCTGGCTCAATTGGCGTTGCAGATCGTGGTGGAGTGGACTCACCGAGTTGAGAAGGTTCAATATAAACGTCTTTACTATGAGCTGTGTGAAGAGACATAAATATAAATTTAAAAGATAAAAATGAAATGAGGATCATAACTTTATGACACGTACTTTCTAACATATCTTTGCCAAAATTCTTAAACTTTTCGCTTATCAAAGGAGTAAGATGGTCATGGATTACTTTCTTTATGAGTTCTTTATCGTTAGTTTCGTCGTCGACACTGATTTGAAACTATTAAAAGTATTTATTAAATAATGATATATACTTTATATGATTTTAATTATTCCTTACCTCACAATCCCCTTCTGTGCCTTGAAGTTCAGGAATACGAATTTTTCCTGTAACTTCGGTGCCATCCGATGCAGTACCTATTTTTACAATTTCGTAAAATTTCAAAATATACCTGATCTAATAGATTACGAAATTAAACAGTTCTCTCACCACACCAAGCCAATTCTATTACTAAATCAATGAACGGGATTAGTTTTCCCTTCCTTTGATTCAAATCTGCGTCTCCGGAGCATTGGGTTACATCCGAAATCTTCACCGAGATGCCTTCATGTTCAGCACTAAGACCGATTAACCGCTCTTTAAAATATCCTTTGGCCCATTTCAAACAGTTTTTAGTGGTCCTAGTTAACATTTTTGATAAAGTTCCATTATAAGATTATATCAGTTTCACCGTTTTTTTTTTTTTTTTTAACCCACCAATGCCTAATATAGAAACGTTTAGATAAGTAAAACAAAGCGACATCAATAATCACAAGGTCAATACAATGTAAAAATACCAATTATTTGGGTTTTTCCAATTACTCATTTTCGAAATTTTCGAGTTTCGGAGTGAATAAGGAGAGGAGAGTTTTAATAACAAAAATTAGTTATCGCCATCAATAAATTTTTGATCCGATTATTGTTTCTAGGTCTTTCCTGTATATTCAATATCTTCAAAAATAACTTTAAGTGAGGTTCGAGAATATTCTATGCATAGATCTTGCATGGCCAATAAAAAATTAGGGATCTCCCGTAAACACAATTGTGACTATCGCTATTATTTTGGTAAATAGCAATAGACAGTTCCGGTTGTTTGCTTCATCCTTTACTGCGGGACTATTTAAAACTTTCAAGATGAATCTCTTTTTCCCAAAGCAAAAGCCTAAAGCGAACGCTAAAGATGCTATTGTTCGCCTTAGAGAAACCTTGCAAATGCTGGAAAAGCGAGAAAATCATTTGCAAAATAAGATCGATAGTGAACTCAAAACTGCAAAATCCAATGCGACCACTAACAAAAGAGGTATGCTCAGTATCCTTGGAAAATCCTTTTAAAGATCGCCAAGCGCTCTCGACATAAACTGGTTTTTGGCGTTGCACGCTTAAACAGTTTATATTATTTAATTCACATGTAGCATAATTGATCAAAACTTGTGAATATAGTACTAGACTTATGTCACTTTATATGTCTCGTGTTTCAATTTTCATGTCATTTTATTATAATTTGTGAAAAGAGCAATGTACTCATTTATTTGACTAACAATTTTAATTGCGTTCACTCTGCAGCTGCTTTGATGGCACTTAAGCGAAAAAAACAATATGAAAGTCAGATTGAAAAGATAGGTGGTTCGCGTATCACAATTGAGGCCCAAGTCATGGCAATTGAAAGTGCAAACGTCAATCTTGAAACTATTAAGGCAATGGAAAGTGGTGCTGAGGCAATGAAGGCAATACATGGATCTATGTACGTCTTTTATATTTCGCAAATCCGGCTGCATTTGTATGTGGCTATAATAACTATATAAATTTATATATATATGTAATTAAATTGTCGACAACTTCTATTTAAAAAGGGATATAAATAAAGTAGACGATATAATGGACTCTGTCCGGGAGAATATGGATTTGGCTGATGAAATTTCAAATGCGATTTCTGCACCCATGATCGGAGTCGATTTAGATGATGTTTGTATTTCTTTCTCTTCCTGATGTATATAATTGGTTATTTTTAGTTTATGATGGAATTTAACATATTTAAAAACACAGGATGAACTAACTGCCGAATTAGAAGAACTAGAACAAGAGGTTCTTGATAGTCAATTGCTTGAAGTTGAACCCCCTCCCGTTATTGCGCCCAACGTACCTACAACCAACCTTGGTAAGAGTTTAAATATGACCATTTAAACTTTTATTATAAACATTGACATAAATTTTTTTCTCTTCTACAGCCCGGCATACAAATAGAATTCTGGAAGATGAAGATGATGAATTAGAAGCATTAAAAGCAACTATGGCCATGTAATGTTACGTCATTTTATTTATATAATAAATTGCTGTTCCACATCCACCTAATTGGTTCAGTACATATAGTCCATCGTATATCTAATTATACTTTATATAACGAACATTCATATATAGTTAGATAAACGACTAGAGTCTATTCGCATAGGTTATTACCACTGTAACTTCATCCTGTCGGTGTGGCAGATAAATTAATTAAAACCTGTTATCAAATCTTATATGGACTTATTAGAATTAATAAAAAAGTTGGTGAAAAATTGGTCAAATTTAGTATGTAAACCATTAAGATCATATTATTGTATTAATGATTCTAAATTTATTGTCTTACTGGGTTTAGTTTGAAAAATTCAAGGTTTAATTAATTAATGTTTACTTTGGCAGTTTTTGTTTTTCTAAAGCTCCAAATTACTGTTATAAAAAAAAATCTTAATTAAAAACAATTATAGTCAACGTTGATATGTATAATTCTTAAATACACTTGACCCTTATCCATAACAACCATTTTACATTCATGTTGATAGTGATATTAATGAGGGATCATATTAACGTTGATATATTCGAGGAAATTTTAAATATATAAAATTTTATTTATTGTTTAGGTTAATATTATAATAATAAGGTTGACGTTAAGTGTACTAATATTTAATAACTAAAATAATCGTATTTATATCAGTATTTGCAATAATTTAGATTGCTATTTTTTAAATGCTACTTTGTTTTAAATTATATTTTGCTATAAATAAAAATATTTGGTATTTTACCAATTTTGAATTCTAATTTTTAACTAATTTTATTTAATACCAGATTTATTAACAAAAGAATAAATGGGTTGCCGTCAATAGAAATCAAGCAAATTTACATTTGAAAAAAAATTAATGCCTTGACTTTTACAGCTCATATCTTAATGGATTTTAAAACTATCTTAATAGTTTAATATTCAAAAAAAATCTTACGATCTAAGCTTTCATTTGAATATTAAACCATCAAGATAGTTTTAAAACCAACTAAGATATGAACTGTGAAAGTTAAGGCATTAATTTTTCTAAATGTAGATTTTCTTGATTTTTATTAATGGCAGCTCATATAGTTAAACTTTTTATAGTAATATTTATAGTTACATTTGCTTATAATTACATAAATTTTTAAAAACAACTTATTTATTACTTATAAAATCTGATCTCTATAATATAAACTCTTTATAAGCATAAATTTTATAATCAAGGATATAATTATAAAGGTTTAATTATATACAATACTAAATAGTGTTTTATTAAATTTTTTGAAATTACTATTGCAATTACATAAATATACCTAACAACTAAGCTTAGCATTATCTGGTTACTCTAGTAGCACCTAAG